TCTGAGAATGGCTCACCATGGTCTGCCACTAACTTCTTATTTGGGTCCATAGGACTATCAATTGGCTTGCAATTAATCATGCCTGTCTCCTCCAGAATATCTAGAGCATACTTTCTTTGTGAAATAACAATGCCCTCCTTTGATTGAGCCACCTCAATACCAAGAAAGTATTTAAGATAACCGAGATCCTTGGTCTCAAAGTGGCTGACTAAATGCCTTTTCAGCTGGGAAATCTTGACAGAATCATTTCCTGTAATAACTATGTCATCAACATACACAATTAGATAAACACATTTTCCAGAAGAGGTATGACAATAAAAAACTGAGTGATCTGCCTCACTACGGTTGAGCCCAAAACTCTGTACAACGTGACTAAATTTTCCAAACCAAGCTCGTGGAGATTGTTTGAGCCCATAGAGAGATCGACGCAATTTACAAACTAATCCACACTCCCCCTGAGCAACAAATCCAGGAGGTTGCTCCATATAGATTTCCTCTTCTAAATCACCATGAAGAAAGGCATTTTTAATATCTAACTGATGGAGGGGCCAATGGCGAATAGCGGCCATAGCAAGAAAGAGTCGAACAGAAGTGACTTTGGCCACAGGAGAAAAGGTGTCACCATAATCAAGGCCATATATCTGAGTGTATCCTTTGGCCACCAACCTAGCTTTAAGGCGATCAAGCTTACCATCAGGCCCAACTTTGATGGCATAAACCCATCTGCAACCAACTGTCTTTTTCCCAGGTGGAAGAGGAACCAATTCCCATGTCCCACTACTTTCAAGAGCTTGCATTTCAACAACCATGGCTTGTCGCCATCCAGGATGAGCAAGTGCGTCATTGATATTTTTAGGAATGGTGATAGAAGACAAGGATGAAACAAAGGAAAAATATGAAGGGGATAAACGATGGTAACTCAAAAAATTATAAATAGGATGAGGATTTCGAGTAGATCGAATACCTTTGCGAAGAGCAATTGGCCAACTAGAATCTTCATCATTGGGAATCGTGGTAGGTGCAGTTGATGGTGAAGAACATGAAACAGATGGCTCTCCATGATGTGTTGAATTGTCCCTTTGTATTCTTCGTTGGTAAGTGATGAGGGGTGGTGAAGATGGTTCAGGTGGGTTGATAGTTGGAGAAGGATTTGGATCTATGTTTTGATTGGTAGTTTCAGGAGACTGGGTCAACACTGACTCAAGAAATGGAACAGGTAATACTTGTTGAATAGAATCTAAAACTTGCATGGAAGATGAAAAGAACGAAGTGTCTTCGAAGAAGGTGACATCACCAGACATGTAGTATCGTCTAGTGTCTGGAGAATAACAACGATAACCTTTTTGAAGTCGAGAGTATCCCAGAAAAACACACTTAATGGCCCTAGCAGAGAGCTTGTCCAAACCTGGAGATAGATCATGGACAAAACAGACACAACCAAAAACACGAGGAGAAACGTGAAATAGAGGTTCATTTGGAAAAAGAATTGAATAAGGAATTTTATTATCAAGAGAGGAGGATGGCATTCTATTTATTAGAAAACAAGCCGTAAGAATTGCATCACCCCAATGATGGACGGGAACATTGGTACTAAGTAATAAGGTACGAGCAGTTTCAACTAAATGTCTGTTTTTTCTTTCTGCTATACCATTTTGTTGTGGTGTATGAGGACAAGTAGATTGATGTAAAATACCATATGTAGTTAGAAAGGATGTAAGATCTGAAGAAAAATATTCTTTAGCATTATCACTCCTAAGGACTTTTATTATTTTCCCAAATTGATTCTTAATTTCATTGCAAAAAGACATGAAAATGGACAGAAGTTCAGATCGATCTTTCATTAAATAAATCCAAGTACATCGAGAGTATTCATCAATAAATGTGACAAAATATCTGAACCCAAAAGATGTGACACGGCTTGGACCCCAAATATCTGAATGAATGATGGAAAAAGCAGAGTTACATCTTGTTTCAGTTCTTTTTGGAAATGAAGACCTAACATGTTTCCCTAGTTGACAAGACTCACACTCTAAGGCTTGAAGTTTGTTAAGGCTAGGAACCATTTTCTTTAATTTTGTCAGGTGAGGATGACCCAAACGATCATGCAAAAGTTTAGGAGTCGAAGATGCAAAACAAGAGACAGAGGGGCTAGTTTCAAAATAGTAGAGTCCTCTAGATTCATGTCCTCCTCCAATCAACCGACCCGTGCCACGTTCCTGAATAACAAAGGAATTAGCATCAAAGGTAACAGAACAATTTAATGATTTGGTTAATTTACTCAAAGAAATTAAATTAAAAGCACATTTAGGAACAAAGAGGACAGATTTTAAGTTCAAGGAAGGGGTGAGAGAGACTTGACCAACTCCTTGGGAAGCGACTTTGGATCCATTAGCCAAGGTAATGAAATGAGGAACTTTAGGTAAGGAAATAGAAGAGAACAAAGAATTATTACCAGACATATGGTCAGAAGCACCAGAATCTATTATCCATGGACCTTGACTCTCCGTGGATTGAGAAATGCATGCTGTTGAAATATTAGGAACAAAGGAAGATTGAGCTTGACTATTGGATTTCAACCGAAGATATTCTTGATATTCCTCCTCAGAAATTTTTTTATCAGATTTAGAGTCTTCAATTTTGGAGACATTGGCAGTTTTTTCAGGAAAGCCATGCAAGGAATAGCAAGTCTCTTGAGTATGACCCATTCTTTTACAATATGAGCACTGGGGCCGACCACTCCTGCCACCACGGCCTCCACGGTTTCCACGACCTCCTCTTCCTCGGGTAGAAACCATTGCTGAAGATTCAGTAGGTTCAACCAAACTTGCACTATTTTTCGAACTTGGAACACGAAGAAGACGCGTTACAAGGTTCTCCATTGAAGGGATTTCTTGATCTGTCAAAATCTGGTCACGAATATGATTAAAATTAGAGTTCTTCACACTCTAAGGCTTGAAGTTTGTTAAAGCTAGGAACCATTTTCTTTAATTTTGCCAGGTGAGGATGACCCAAACGATCATGCAAAAGTTTAGGAGTCGAAGATGCAAAACAAGAGACAGAGGGGCTAGTTTCAAAATAGTAGAGTCCTCTAGATTCATGTCCTCCTCCAATCAACCGACCCGTGCCACGTTCCTGAATGACAAAGGAATTAGCATCAAAGGTAATAGAACAATTTAATGATTTGGTTAATTTACTCAAAGAAATTAAATTAAAAGCACATTTAGGAACAAAGAGGACAGATTTTAAGTTCAAGGAAGGGGTGAGAGAGACTTGACCAACTCCTTGGGAAACGACTTTGGATCCATTTGCCAAGGTAATGAAATGAGGAACTTTAGGTAAGGAAATAGAAGAGAACAAAGAATTATTACCAGATATATGGTCAGAAGCACCATAATCAATTATCCATGGACCTTGACTCTTCGTGGATTGAGAAATGCATGCTGTTGAAATATTAGGAACAAAGGAAGATTGAGCTTGACTATTGGATTTCAACCGAAGATATTCTTGATATTCCTCCTCAGAAATTTTTTGAACAGATTTAGAGTCTTCAATTTTGGAGACATTGGCAGTTTTTTCAGGAAAGCCATGCAAGGAATAACAAGTCTCTTGAGTATGACCCATTCTTTTACAATATGAGCACTGGGGCCGACCACTCTTGCCACCACGTCCTCCACGGTTTCCACGACCTCCTCTTCCTCGGGTAGAAACCATTGCTGAAGATTCAGTAGGCTCAACCAAACTTGCACTATTTTTCGAACTTGGAACACGAAGAAGACGCGTTACAAGGTTCTCCATTGAAGGGATTTCTTGATCTGTCAAAATCTGGTCACGAATATGATTAAAATTAGAGTTCATGGCACGCAGAATCAACACCATACACAACTTATCAAGTTTCTTTTTCATCTCTTCCACAGAATCAGCTTCTAAAAACATTTTCAGCTCCTCAGCTGCTGATTGTGCTTGGGCAATGAAAGAGACCATGTCATCATCAGTTTGTTTGAGAGATGCTAATTTGCTAGCCCAAGATCGCACCTAGCTCACGATGATACCATATAGGAAAACATAATTTAGAAGAGAATATTATTGAAAGACTAAATTGCACATTGTGCGGTACGGTTACATATATAGAGAATTACAACAAAGAGAATAACAAGACCTAAACAGAAAAACTAACTCAATACAACTAATAAAAGTATTTATTATTTATTCCCTAATATGGTGAGATGAGATGGAACTAGTTGAGATTTGGTAGAGGTTAGGCACTCTTGAATTGCCTAGGAATATTTACATTTTTTTCTTGTTCTCTTTTATTATTAAGTTGCATACAGATAAGGGGTGTGAGTCTATTACATCTCTTTCTTGTCCTCTAGTACCTGTTAATATTCCACATCTGAATTTGTCCACTTGACCACAAATTATTTTCCACTTCTTTCCTGTCTGAAATTTTTTTCTGAAGTAGGGACCATTTTATTTTTCTGTTGACCTATCTCAATCTACATTGTCTCTATTTTTGAGGGATTTATGGCTTTTGCTAATTTTGCTACACTTGGGAGAGCCTTGGTTCATTTAGCCAGAGTCTCATGCCTTAGTGATTCATTCCATGAGAATTTTATGGGGTAGAACTGCTCGTTTTCTTGAATTCTTGAGTTTTCGTATGTAAACTATTTATAAAGGGGAGAAGGGTAGTTGTTTCTTGATGACCTTTCAGAGCAATTGGGAAACTCTCATGTTGATGCTAATCTTTGTTGTTTGTTTGTTTGTTTTTCTTCACTGTTTCGAAGATTCCTTTTCCCCCTCTTCTGTATTCTTTTATTAGAAAATTCTTTACTAATAGAATAATTAAAAATAATTAAAGGAATCTGTGCTGTATGTAAATACTTTAAATGAATATCAATCACATTTTATTTTGTCTCTTGGTTGAGCCATTATAAATTTAAAATATGTTATATAAAATTTAGGCCAAGTTGACTGTTTCATGGATTGTGATTTTTGCTATGCAGATAAGGAATACATTTGGGCATCAAGTAGAAGCCTTCTTTGTGATATTAACTGCCATTCAGTTTCATTTTCTGTTCTATTGTACCCGTCCACTTCCTAACATTCTTGCTCTGGGTCTAGGTAACTACTTAGCTTGACTGCTTCTTTAAATTCGTAATTGTGTTTTATTTATTTTTTGAATGATGAATGACAGTGTGAAACATGATAACATAGGGAGTAACATTGTTCTAATTAACTATTTTCTAATTACCCTAGAGACAACCATAACATTGTTCTATTATAATATTCACTCCCCCAAAACAAACTCAAGTTGGGAGAGTGAGCTGAGGAAGAAAGCTCAAGCACCTTGAGTTTGTTCATGATAAATGTAATGATCCGCCCTAGTCCCTACACTCGGTGGAATCATACAACTACACTTTACAAAATATTGAATTGAATAATCGATCCACTTTTATAAAATGAATTGGTTTGGTTTGGTTTGGATTTTTAAAAAATCCAATCCATGAACACCTCCGGTGTCAGCAAAAATCTATTTTGCAAAAACCATTTCTTGAACAAAAAATAACTTGATCTCCATATATTTGGTGCGACCATGCAATACAAATTGTGAGCAAGAGAAACAATACTCAAATTATCACAGTAGATGGCAAGAGTGGAAAAAGGGAACCTCAAGTTCAGACAACAATGTTTCAACCCTTAAGACTTCTGCAATAGCTTGCTAAAATTTGATACTCAACTTTAGTACGGGATCTTGCAACATCAGTTTGTTTGCAAGATCATTGTGAAATTAAATTTGGATGTGAAAGATAGTAACTCTAGATGTGGATCTGTGATCATTAGGATTAGTATCCTAATTAACATCACAAAATGCTTGGAGAGTGAATGGTTGGTGAGATTTGGCTGGCTGAATTTGAAGACCATGACTTAAGGTAACTTGGAGGTAGCAAATAATACTTATGACAACAATCCAATGAGACTCAAGAAGGTTAGCCATGAACTAACTTTATCGACAATAAAGCTAATTTCAGGTTTGACAAGTTTGGCATATTGGAGTGCTCCAACCACAGATCTATAAAATGTAGCATCTTGCAAGATATCAAAATCATTCTTGAAGAGTTTGTAGTTGGAGATTGTTAGACATTTGGCAAGCGCAACAAATGTCCCAAGTAGTAAATTGAAAGTCTAATTATCGAATCTGAAGGACTTGTGTAACAATTGTTTAATTTAATTTTAGCACTAAACACGATAATTCAGAAAAATTAATTTGTTTAAGGTATTCGATAAAATTTAGAGGATTATTAAAATTAAGAAACAAGCAACAATTTAGTTAAGAATTGAAATTTATATAATAATGATTGTTTGAGATTGATTTCACTAGCCTTTCCCATGAAAATCCTCCCAAAAATTCTCATTCAATTTCAAAAATTAATCGGTTAATTCAATAGCTCTCAAATATATTTAAACTTTAATTCCTTAGGAGAGAAATTTTGAGTTGCTTAAGAATAATCCCAATCCCTTGGCAAAATTTGTTAAGCAACCTGCATTGTCAAGGACCTAAAATTTAAATAATAAGGCTTATTCTATTCCTAGAATAAGCCTTATAGTGTTTTTGCCTCGATTGTAATTTTAAGAGGGTTTCCCAACCTTAGATGAAATTGTAAAATCATGTAATGGATGATCAAACCACAACAGTCATTAAGTAAAAAGTTAAAGCGATTAATTGAATAAAAGCTTTATTAAACAAGAACAAGTAGAATTACATGAGTTGTAGTAGCTACATCGATCCCCAACAATGTAGATTGCTCAACTAAGGATTTTATACCAAGTAGTAAGAGATCTTCAAGGAATTCGTGATCTTAAGACTTTCTCACTAAAACTCTTTGTAATCTCTCTAAAATTTTGATTGTAAGTGTAAAAGTACATGATTCTTCTTCGAGCCCTAATTTATAATAACTTGAATGGCCTTTTGTCAAGGCATGCTCACTCATAGTGACAGTATTTGCTTGCTTGAGTGAGCTATGATGACTTGTCACTTTGTCTTCCGTGTGCTAGCTTGCTCATAGCGCCCTACTGGCTTGCTTGAGTGAGCTAACAAAATCCTCCAGATGTTGCCTCTGTCTTGGCTCACTTAGAGTGCATGCCTAGCTTGCTTAAGCAAGTTTTTCATTTTTCTCCAGTGGTGTTTTTTGTGTTGGCTCTCTCAGGGTAGCTATCTCGTTTGCTTAAGCAAGCCAGCATATACTTTTGGGGGCTGCTTTTGGAGAGGCTTGCTCAAAGCACCCAGGTGGTTGGCTTGAGCAAGCTTGGAGTGGATTTTGAGCCCTTTTCAATTTTCTAACTATATTTTCCTTCTCTCTGTGTTTCAAGACTAACAAACAAATATTAAAAATACTTAATATTGAACAATTTCATAATTTAAATAAATTAACTTTAACTACTTATTTTGTGGCCAACAAACAAGTTTGTAAAGCATAAGATATATTTAATAATTGCCTAAATTGGATAAAAATGTTGACATATTTGGCAATTATCTAAACAACAAAAAACTTGGAATCTTGCTTGTCCTCAAGCAAAAATAAATCAAGCATAATCTTTATTCTAAACAACTTAGACATATTGAGAAATAATACGAACAAATTTCATCATTCAATGGTTCTCTTCTACTTGCCATGGTAACATCATATCTTAACTAAAATGCATGAAAGAATTTCAAAGAGATTAGCCATCATGACACTCATAGTTATGCATTTTGAACACACTTGCTCTCTTCACCTTTTGTAGTCCAAGTGTAATCATATGGTAAGTGTTTTTCTCAATTCACACATCAAACACCATCGAATTTATGGGATTTGCATCACTAGGCTTAGAATTTCACCAAGGATCCTTTCTAATTTTGGGGTGGCTTAGTCTCCTAATCTCAGACTTTTGTACTTACTATTGTTAGGTTGCCTTGTTTTTGTAGGGGAGGTTTATCACCCAATGGTTGGGCTTTGTGTTTGCATGTGTTTTGTGGAGTTGGTTTGCAGGTTCTTTTATGGGATTTGTATCTTTCCATATGTATGTTTCTTTGTATATCTTAAGATGCTTTATGCCTATCTTTCCTTGATATCATGTTGCTTTATGCCCTTTAGTTTTCTTGTACTTCTTTTAACACTTCTGGTGCTCCTTATATATATATATATATCATCTTTGCTGACCAAAAAAAAAAAACACCATACAATTTAGTTTTGCTCTTCATCTTTCCCTTTTTGAACAATTGTGACAATCATAAGTGTGCAAATATCACAAAGGATTTTTTTAAGCTTGTAATGTAGCCAAGATACCAAGGAATTCATTGTTTTTCTTAGAGTCAAAAACACCTAAGGCAAAGAGAACATTAGTTGTGTTATTTTATTTTTATTTATTTATTTGTTTTAACAATTCCTTTTAGATTCCCCAAAGCTTCTTTTTTCAAATTGCGCCTTTCCTCTTCTACACTAGTGAATTTGGAAGGGATATTTTTTTTGTGCAATTGAGGGACACTTGATGCTTAAAATTTATAGGTGCTTGGGTCATCTAAACCTTCCTAAACATTTTGTGGGTGTAACATACACACACCAATCTTAGAGTCCTTACTTGTATTGTGGGTATAATGCATACCCACACTAAACTTAGAAACTTTCCTTCTCATTATGACTGAATTGTTCTCTTTAACCCTAAAGGTGTATGTTAAAAGAGAGAAATAGGGAACTCATTTTCTGATTATGCTTGAGTGTATTACCACTCAACAAAATGATCTTATTTATAATGATAGTGGTTACAAAGATAATAAATGACATCAACTATTTCCAAGACAACAATTAAAAATACCACAACTTCCTAAGATACATTGAACAAAGAAACTAGGAAGAGTAACAATCATTAAATACTCCTATTTCCAACAGTAACAATCATTATATATTCCTATTTCCAACAGTCCCCCTCAAGCTGGAGAATAAATGTTTTCCATTCCAAGCTTGCATATTATTCTCTCAAAATCTGGACAGCGCAAGCCTTTAGTAAGAATATCTGCAAGTTGTCTTTGTTAAGGTACATATGGAGTACAAATCAAACCACTATCAAGCTTTTCTTTGATAAAATGCCTATCCACTTCAATGTGTTTGGTTCGATCATGTTGAACAGGATTATGAACTATATTGATTGTTGACTTATTATCACAATAAAGTTTCATTGGTCCATCCCATGTAATCTTCAAGTCTTCTAGGATAATTTTCAACCATAGTAGTTCACAAATACCTTGTGCCATAGCCCGAAATTCAGATTCAACACTAGATCTAGCAACAACATTTTGCTTTTTACTTCTCCATGTTACTAAGTTTCCCCGAAGAAATGTGCAATATCCTGTAGTAGATCTCCTATCAATAATTGATCCTGCATAGTCAGCATCAGTGTAGGCTTCAAGACTTGTATTTCCATTTCTTTTATATAAAATTCCTCTTCCTGGAGTCCCCTTGAGGTATTGCAGAATTCTGTATGTGGCATGCAAATGAACTTCTCTCGGACAATGCATAAATTGGCTGACCAAACTTACAGCAAATGCAATATCTGGCCTTGTGTGAGACAAGTAAATTAATTTTCCAACCAAACGTTGATACATCTCCTTATCCACTGTTGCACTATCGTCTGAGTTTCCTAATTTGAGATTTGTGTCCATGGGAGTACTCATAGGTTTACAAGCTGCCATGCATGTCTCCTTCAGTAAATCTGTGACATATTTCTGTTGAGATATGAAAATGCCTTTCTTAGAGTGAGACACTTCAATTCCCAAAAAATATTTCAATTTCCCAAGTGTTTTTATCTCAAAATCCCTTGCTAGTTGTTGGCTTAAGAGAAGTTGTTCTTTTCGATCATTACCAGTGACAATTATATCATCCACATATACTAACAATACAGTTACTTCTCCTAAGAAGGAGTGCTGATACATCTCCTTATCCACTATTGCACTAATGTCTGAGTTTCCTAATTTGAGATTTGTGTCCATAGGAGTACTCATAGGTTTACAAGCTGCTATGCTTGTCTCCTTCAGTAAATCTGTGACATATTTCTGTTGAGATATGAAAATGCCTTTCTTAGAGAGACAC